GGCGGGCGGCGGCGGAGGGATGGAGCCGTGCCCCGCAGAGCAGGGGTGCCGCAGGCCGGGGAGGGAGGCAGCCGGGCGGGAGAGCGGCGCGGTCAGTGAACCGGGAGCGGGAGAGACGCTTTGCATCCTGCCCCGCTGCTCCCGGTCAGCCTCGCTCCCCGCTCAGGAGCTGCGGCAGCTCCGCACCCCCAGCCCCCCGCCCCGCCTCCCTGCCCGGCTCCAGGCTGCAGGGCACCATCAGGGTGGCTGAGAAATGGCAAGTCTCGGAGGAGGCTGCGAGGGCTGGGGCAGCTCGGGCTCGCAGAGGCTGAGGGACACGACTGCCGGCTCTAAATACTTCGGAGATAAACGCTGGGGGGGGGGAGAAGAACTACTTAAGCCGAGGGACGGCGTCGGCAAAAGCGCAAACGTGGGCGAGCAAGCCCCGAGAACGCTGCAGCCGGGAGGAGGTTCCTCCGCTGGGGCAATCGGGCCAGAAGGGCTGATTTTAGGGTTAGTCGGTTGTGGTGCGGTGCCCTGATCTGCAGGGTGGGGGGGTCGCAGGGAAGGTCTCTTCCCGGCCGGCTTTTCTGTGCTTGTGCCGAAGCCAGGGCTTCGGAGGCAGCCTGCCGACTTGGATCAAGGGAAGGGGAACATCTCCCGGCACGCCGGTGCCTCAGGCCGTAGCTGGCTGCCGCGCTCTTGCGGCAGGCACCCAGCGGCTGCGTTCAATCCTTCTCCGGCAGGAATCGGCAGAGCCCTGAGCACCGGCTATTGTCGCCTCTGCCACGGGAAGTTCTCCTCCAGGAGCCTACGCAATGCTTTCGGGAAGGTGCCTGTGATGGGGGAGAACTCGGAGAAGCAGCGCCGCGTGGATCAGGTCTTCTTCACCGACTTCCAGCGGCTGGTCGGCGTGGCGGTGCGGCAGGACCCCGCGCTCCCCCAGTTCGTCTGCAAGAAATGCCATGCCCAGTTCTACAAATGCCGCAGCGTCCTCAGGACGTTTATCCAGAGGGTGAACGCGTCTCCCACGGGCCATATAAAGTCGAAAGGAAAGTACGTTGCATTTCTTTCTTCCCGGGAGTTATCGCGAGCGGTAAATTGCCGTGGGTTGACACGCGGTCCCTCCGTAACCCCCGAGACCCCACTGTGCTGTTCTGGCTTTTGCAGGAGCGGCGCAGCCCAGGCCCAGCCGGGCGCGGAAGGAGGTGCCTCCTGTCTGGGTGAGTGCCCGCTCCCGGAGCCGCTTTCCTTTTCTTTCTGTGATGCCATCAACGAAGGGCTGGGTTTTACGGGCGTCGAGGAACGACCACCCGGCAGGGCGATTCCTGCGTCCCTCGGCGCAGCCGTGCCCCGCTCCGGCTGGTCACGGTTCCCCCTCCTCCCTCCTCCACGAGCTCTCCCCTCCGGCTCACCAGGAGGATCCTCGCTGGCACCGGCCTCCCTGAGCTGAGCTGAAGAGGCGCAGGCTCGCGCGAAGAGCAGGCGGAGCGGGTTTGGGTGGCAGCGCCGGGCCTGTCCCAGCCGCCATCGAGAAATACGCTGTAAAATACAATTTCAGCTTTCAGCTACAATTTCAGCTGTAAAATTTAAAATTATACAATTTCAGCTGTAAAATTAATGATATTGGCGGTTGACGGGACTGCCCCCGCCTGAGTCCATCTGGCTGCGGCGCCTTTAGGGTGTCTCCCGCCCACCGTCTGACGCAGGAGTCCGGTGCAGCCTTGGGGGGAGCGGGTCCACAGCCCCGTCCCCTCCCCAGGGGGGAGCGGGTCCCTCCCTGTCCCTCCCCGCGGCTGGCTGTGCCCTTGGCTGGCCCAGGGGACTGACGGTGCGCGTGCTGCCTCTCCCCTCCGACAGTCGACCTGATCACCTCCAGCCCCCAGTGCCTGCACAGCCTGGTGACGTGGACGCACGCGCATGCCGGGAGCTGCCCCTCGGTGCCCAGCCTGCAGAGCGTGCTCTCCTCCGAGTACTGCGGCATCATCCGCGCCGTCTGGGGCTGCGGGGACGGGCACGACTACGTCATGGATACGGATTCGGACTGTAGCACGGTGCTTGTCGACAACGCCTTGTCTGTCAAACGGGAGTGGAACAAGAGCACGGCGCAGCGCTTGACTGACAATGGGGCTGGGGCAGACAATGCCGAGGCTGTTTCTGCTCCCAAACCCCAGCATGCTCCAGCAAGGACGACAACTTGCCAGCAGCCTGCAAACAAAGGGACCACATCGGTGCCGCTGAACGTGGAGAACGAGCCGCCGCAGAACAGGGATTCATCTCACTCGCAACTGGACAGCACGGCCTCCTTGCAGGAGAAAGCCCTGCCGCAGCCCGTGTCGCCGCTGAGCAGTGCCACAGGTAAGGGATTTGCCTTCTGATCTCCCTCCAGGCCTCTGGGGAAGGGCAAAGAGCCGGAGAGCTGGCCCGGGGAGCGATGGCGGGGCTGGGCCCCCTCCTGGGGGACCGCTGCTCCTCGGGGAGGACGCAGACCCCGGCTGGCGAGTGCAGGTTGCCCAGAGAACCGCCTCCGACCGGGGACGCTGAGCCTTGGAGGAGGGAAGGGGGAACACGGGTTCAGCCGACCGCGTCGCGCAAAAAGAACCGGTCTCCTCGCCCCGTGCGCTATTTCCCCCTCTGATAGAGGGGCCGAGACTTGGCCGTTCCTTAGCAGGCTGCGCCCGGATGGCAGGACCCCGCTGCCTTGCTCTTGTCGGGGGACGTGTGCCCGTCGAGCGGTGCAGAACGGTCGCTGGTTCGCCGGCACCACGTTTGTCAGATGTTTCTTTCCGCTCAAACCAAACCCCGTCCGTCTGCCGGCAAGGAGGGGTTTCCCCGACCCCGCTGCAGGTGACGCCGGACAGCAGGAGCCCCTTCTGTCCGCAAAGGAGAGTTGCCGGGCAGGCTTGCTCGTGGGCCGAGTTAACGTGGGTTTACTGCTGAACTCCCCCAGCCGCCACTTCCAGAAGAGAGGAATTAACACCGATTTTTGAGTTAGGGAAGTCGGGCTGCCTTCAGCTCCGACGGCCACGGGAGGTGTCCGCTGCTGGAAAGAGGAACGGCAGCTGGGACTCGCCTGGGGACGAGTCTTGCGGTTACGGAGCAGGTGTCATGGGGGAATCCAAAAGATGCTCGTGGGAACTCCAGGGTAAAGGCTCTCCCGTCCCTGGAGCGCGGGGAGAGCGGTCTCCGAGCACATGAGACACGGAGTTTCGTTTCGTTTAAATAATCATTAACTTGTCGCGGAGCACGTATTTTTCACGTGGTATGAGCCGCCACGAGTGAACCCCGAGTGGCTGGTTCCTTCTCAGCAGCTGTCTCCGCTGGCTTGTTTTTGCTGCTTTTCCTTGTAACGCACCGTGTTCTCCTTCATTCCCTAGGACAGTTGAGTGGGAAGCAGGTTCTGTCTGCAACGTCGGATGAGCGGGTAAAAGACGAGTTCAGTGACCTTTCTGAGGGGTGAGAGAAGAGTGGGTTTAAAATAGCCTAAATGTCTTCTTTGCCAGTGTGAAATGACCCGCCTCGGAGAGCTCTTTCTCCCCGAGTGACCTGGCCCTCGAGGCCCCTTGGAACCGGCGTCGGAGGCGCAGAGCGGTGGCTCTGCAGCGGCTGTGATGAAGCTCACGCCGCTGAGGCGCTGAACTCCCCTCCTCGCTGCCTCTGCTGCGGGGGGGGGAGGCGGTTCGCACAGCGGCGCGCCTGTGTTTGCACGCGCGCGTGCCCTCCGCGTTCGCTGGCTGCTTCCAGCAAACCTGGTCCCGTTTCGTTCAAGGACCCTTTGCTCTGGGGAAGGAACCGTGCAGGGGCGGCGGGGGCTTGCTCGGTCCTGGGTGGTGGTGGAGCCGCTGCTCCAGCCCCTCGCCGGGGCAGGGCTGCCGAAAGCTCCTGCCTCGCCTGGGAGCAATTCCCCTTCGTGGCTGCTCCGGGCTGGGGCCGCAGAGGAGCGGTCGGTGCGGGAATGCAGGCAAGGGGTGGCACTCGGAGAAACCACCCCGTTTGCCCACAGGGAGAGCGATTAAATGGGAAGCGGGGAGTGGGAGGGACACCGGCAGCTTAGCAGCCTTTATGATCAAAGATTTGGCTAAATCCTTCAAACGCAGGTCTTTAAAGTGAGGCTTGTAAATAACTGATAATTGAGTCCAGTCATTCCGAGTCTAAAGTACCAAATGGCCGAGAGCAGACTTATTTCAGTGTGTCAGCTGTCACGTTACACGTGCCGCAACAGTTCATTGCCTGTTTCCTGGCTTCAGAATCGCTTGCTTCTTGTACGGCTTAGGACTTAAAAGGAGGAAAAATTAAGACCCAAACCTATGTGGCTGCTGCGTATCAGGAAATACAGAATGACCTGCAGCTTAATTAACCTGCGCCAGACAATTACATTACGTTCTTGCTTGGCAAAATTACTTCTCCCAGTAGAGAAAGCGGTGGCAACATCCCTCAACAACGAATAGATCTTTTCAGAAATGGCCGGTTTTTGTTCTCCTGACAGCGGTTCGATTACTCTTGCAGAGATCTAGTCCTAAAAGGACCCGATTTTGCTATTTGCTGTGTTCACCGGCGCTGTATTTGCTTGGGGAGATTACGGGGGAGGAGGACACGTGGAGCCTCGGCTGCTGTGCCGTGCTGTGGGGGAGATGGATGCGCTGGGAACGAAGAGCACGTATTGCTGCTGCTGCTGCAGACGCTGGTGCTGAAGCGCCAGCCCGGTGCTGTGTCAGTAAAGGGCATCTTCTCTCTCTCTCAGGGACTTCTTGAGCGACGATGAAAATGAGAAGAGAAACGTGCAATCTTCAGATGACTCCTTCGAGCCTTACCCCGAAAAGAAGTAAGGGGCTTACTGCGTGGTTAGCAGAGCTCTCGGCGGACGAGCGGGAGGGCTGGCGCCCGCCTCGGCTCTGCTTGTGCCGGGCTCAGCTGGGCCAACGCCATCGCTTTCCTTCCTGGCCTCAGTTCTCTCCACGTCCCTGCCTGGAGGTCACAGCGCTGCCCTAGCACCCGTGTTCCCTGAGCTCCCCATCGGGTTGAAGCTGGGCCGCGTCCCTCGTCCTCAGGCCCAGCACTAATTACCGCAGCGTGGCTCACGTGTGCCTGACGGTGTGCGTGCCCCTGCTTTGCCAGGCCAAGCTGAGCCATCAGGCCGGCTGTGACGCTCGGGGACGATTAGGTGGGAGGACTAAAACCAACATCAAGTATTAAACCACTGTCCTTCTTCCTTCTTGGAGGGTTTCTAGCAAGAAAAGTGACAGCAAAGAAGCAAAGAAGGCGGAAGAGCCCAAAATAAGGAAGAAGCCTGGGCCTAAGCCAGGCTGGAAAAAAAAAATCAAATGTGAAAGGTAATAAGGAGCAGGCGGCAGCTGAGCAGCAGCCCCGCGCTCGGCACGCTGGCTGACGGCAGGCCTCTGCTTTGCAGGGAGGAGCTGCCTACCATTTACAAGTGTCCTTACCAGGGATGCACGGCCGTCTACAGAGGGGCGGATGGCATGAAGGTGAGTTCAGGGTTTGCTCCTGTCTCAGACCGGTGGCTCCGAGTGTTACAGAGCGGTTTCCGTACGAGGAGAGGATCTGTGACAGATTTAACTCGCCGCCTAGCTCCGCAGGAGGCGGCAAGCGACCAAACGAAGCAGTCGGAGGCCTCCTTCTGTGCTCCCAAAAGCAACGGGAGCTGCTCTGGCTCTGCGTGCTCCTCCTGTTCTGGAAGCCGGCCGCTGGCTCGGCAGCAGCCCTTGGAACAAGCTCCGCTCTGCCCGGTTAAAGCCCCTGCCGCCAGGCTTAGATTTGGATGCAAGTCTCTGGTTTTTCCACAGTGAAGCAGCGCTGACGCGCGAGCCTGCCAACATGGGGGGGGTGTCTCGTTTATTGGGGGGATCCAAGTTTTTCCACTAGGGAAAATGGAGGCCAGCGGTTAGAAGCTCTGTCCTTTCTTTACAGAAACACATCAAAGAGCATCACGAAGAGGTTCGGGAGAGGCCCTGTCCTCATCCTGGCTGCAACAAGGTGTTCATGATTGACCGGTACCTGCAGCGTCACGTGAAGCTCATTCATACAGGTGTGTCCCAGCGGGCTCCGCTCACACCAGGCGACGGGTGTTGCAAACACCCAACGATTCATTGCACGAGGCTTGTGCAAGACCGTGCAGAACGGCCTGCCTTGCCTGTAAACCTGTAACGGGCCATCACGCGGGGGACGCGAGGCAGGGGGAGGAATTCAGGCTCCACCAGTAAGCGCGGGCAGCTGCCCGTATGCATTTCGTGTACTAAGAAACCGGCAGAATCGATGACTGTCTCCCTTTTTACATTGCAGAGGTACGTAATTATATCTGTGATGAATGTGGGCAGACCTTTAAGCAACGCAAACACCTCTCGGTCCACCAGATGCGGCACTCGGGAGCAAAGCCCCTCCAGTAAGTGCACACCAACCATCCGTTCATAGCTAAGAAAAGGGACAGAAGGGGTGGTGAAGTTCCGCTGAGCTCTCGCAGTCACTGACCTTAGCGCAGAGTAATTCTGCGATACAAACCCTGCCTGTAGCTGGCAGTCTCCTGGCTGAATCACTTTAAACGCTCGTCCACAACGCGTGCGCCAGAGCTTCCCCTTGCTGAGCAAGTCTTGCATCTCCTCCTATTCCTGTTGCCCTTCAGCGTTCAGCAGGTGAATGCTCGGCTACCAGAGATGAGCTGCAGGCCCGAGGAGGAGAATGGTGTTGCGTGACCAGGGTAGTTGTAGGAGATGCTGTGAGCAAGCAGCTCTGAGGCTGCGGTCGTCTTCTCGGGGGGGGGGGTGACAAAGAGCGAACGCCACAGCTGCCCCCTCAGGCCCGGCGCTAAGCCCTTTGCCTTGCAGGTGCGAAATCTGTGGTTTCCAGTGCCGACAGCGAGCGAGCGTCAAGTACCACATTTGCAGGTGCGAAATCTGTGGTTTCCAGTGCCGACAGCGAGCGTCGCTCAAGTACCACATGACCAAACACAAAGCCGAGACGGAGCTGGAGTTTGCCTGCGACCAGTGTGGGAAGCGCTTCGAGAAGGCCCATAACCTTAATGTCCACATGTCCATGGTGCACCCTCTGACCCAGACTCAGGACAAAGCCAAGCCGCTGGAGCCAGAGCCCATTCTCCTCCTAAATACTTCAGGGACTTCAGAAAGCCAGGCGGTAAAGCCAGAAGTGACTGCACAGCAGGAGCCCACCTGAGGGGGACAGGGATGCTTTCCCAGTCCAGCCCCGTAGAAACCATGCGGCAGAACGGAGATTTTTTTTATCTACATTTTAGTCTCCCAAAGAACTCAGTGGAATTAGCTTCAGCTTGCTCAGAAAAAGCTTGTTATCATGCTGTGATTCTCCATGCTCACGTCTGATTCAGCAGTGTTGTACTAAGAGTCTGTCTAATCCCAGGGGAATGGATGTTCGGCAGCACCCCTTCGTGGTCCCCCTTCTCCCCACGCGCACAGTTGTAGAAACAAAGTTGGCCACAACTGTCCCCCGCCTGCACAAGCTGCTGCCTGTACGGAAGTGCCCTCGGGTGGCTGTAAGGGTACACAGGGCAGCGAAGCAACTTCAAGCAGACATTTTGGTTTTTTTGGGGGGGAAAAAAAAAAAATTATGATTCCCAAAGCAAGTCTAAACTGAAATTTGTAACCTACTTTTTATTGTAACAAGAGCTTCATGGTTATGCTTGTAATAAATTATTTACAAAGTAATTTGAAAGAAACAGCACTGGTGAGAAAGGTAGCACCTCATCTGTCCCTTCGTCCGTAGTCAGGGTGTTCCGTCCCTCAGAACAGGGCCAGCTCTTCGTCCAGCTCCGTGGCCACGGCAGGCCTGGAGAAGTGCAGGAGGCTGGCTCCCAGCTCTGGGTCAAGTTCTTCACACGCGTCCAGTAGCTGGGGAAGGGGGCAAGTAGCCAGCGTTAGACCTGCTCGTGCTTCCTCAAAGGGAGTTACAGCAACACTAGATCATTCTGCTGCTTCTTGGCGAGGTAGAGGAGAGGGAAGCTGGTGCCGACTCACACAGAAGTAACACGGGCTCGTGGCTGCCAAACTTCAACGCCTGCCACTTAGCTGGGCTTGGTATTTCCCCCAAGACCAGGCATTAAGGAAGCGGCGGGAGCGAGACTGCGTGAGGGCAGTGTTGTTGCCAAGAAAGATGCAGCCTGGGAGAGGGAGGATGTGGCTGTAGCACTGATTGAGCAGCAGGTGTCCTCCACCGCTCCCAAATGTGTTACGGAAAGGCAGCGTGTGTCAGGGGTTAAGCAGGCAGCACCGGTACAGGATCGGCGCGGCAAGGAAGGCTACGCACGCAGGCCCTGAGCAGCAGCAGCGCTCCCAGCTCTCACACACTTGGGAGGAGAGAAAAAAAAACAACCACCAAAAACCTGAACGCACCGGTTGTATGTTTCCAAAGCTTCGGGCAGGGCATCGCGGGATCGCACCGAGCAGGAACCGCCGGGCCGTGGAGATCACAAACAAACAAAAACCTGAACGCACCGGTCGTATGTTTCCAAAGCTTTGGGCAGGGCATCGCGGGATCGCACTGAGCAGGAACCGCCGGGCCGTGGAGATCACCTCCAAGGGATCCCCCTGGAGAACACGGAGAAGAGAGACACGGCCCGTCAAGGCCAAGCGCAATGTCACTTTCGGCTCTCAGTCCCTGCCTCCAAAAGCGAAACAGGAACCACTACACGGCACCTAGGGGCTATTCACAGGTTAAGCAGATCACTAGATCAGTGACGACCTTCACCCTGAGGTCCTGTGCAAGACAGTGGTGAGGCAGCTTAGGTTTCGGGCAGCAGCAGGACAGCAGCACCGGCAGCTTCTCTCAGCCCCAAGGTGCAAGCAAGCTGCCCGCAAAGGCAGCCGCACAAGCTACCTCTGCTCTGTACAGGAAGGCGGGAACAAGAGGGATGCTGCAAGTGGCAGGGGGAAGGGATAAAGAATGGGATGCACAGTTACAAGAGGGACAAAGAGAGACTGAGCTTCACTCACGTGCTCTGCGGGGTCTGGGCTTTGCCCCGCTTGATCAGACTGGGGCAGGTCTTTCCCTTCCACGAAGAGCCGAAGCAGCTGGATGTACAAATCGAGCGCCACGTAGAGGAAGGTCTGCTCTCGAGTGAGCAGCTCTTGGTGAAAGCACGGGGTGAGGCTAGAGGAGGTCACACACCGTGTCCGGTTAGCACCGGTTCCGTGGTAGACTCAAACGCATAAAGACGCAAGGCAAACGCAGCCGGTGCTGTTGCCGCTGTCTGTTTTACAAGTCCCATTGTGTGCAGGGCCACCTCACTGCCAGGAGCACGAAAGGCAGCCAGGGACGCTCCTGTTTGGAGCACAAAGCTGAAGGGAAACTTCTAGCAGAAGATACGGGGCTCCTTAAATAGCAATCCTGCCCTGATCAAGTATTCTCTCCTGCACAGCTCACCTACGGGCCAGCAGTACCGTTACCTCTGCACCAGCTGCTGTACGTGCAAACCCTCAGCCACATCATCCCTCGCGAACACCTCCCCTCTGAGCCCGGCAGGGCGTTACCTGTAGAATGCAACAGGCAAGAGCCGGACGTGACGGTCCGAGGCTGCGCTGCGCAGGACACGGTATTTTCTAGGGTCTGCAAGAGCCAGAGAGAAGCACTAAGCATCTGCAGTGGTCCTCACGCCACCTCGCGTACTTCCACAGCAGCACAGGGGCTGCACGGTTTCCTTCCAGCCCACAATAAACGCTAGTGCTTAGCTGTGGGGACCCCTGAGAGAAGCAAGCTGTCCCCTCTGAGGCTTTCTCTACCAGAGGGAACAATACTGAGTGTCAGTCGTTCCCGATCGTCAGCTGGGTCACCATACTGCAGGGTAGAAGCGGGATGTTCTCGGCTTTTACTCAAGCAAGTATTTTTCGTGCTGCTTACAGAGGCCCATCTGTTCCTTCTTACAGGTACATTCATTAATCAAAGAGGTGGGGCATGCCTGTCCAGCACCAAACCTCGCCTTTCCACCCCTTGGAGGCAGGACTCGCTCACCTTTCTCTGCCGAATGGAAGAGAAGTGGCCAGGACGCTCCCCTCTCTTCCAGGTGTTGCAAGATCTCCAGGGACCATTCCAGAGACGTCTGAAAATCCACTCCTTCCTGGGCGTCAGAAAGGACAGGTCTAGTTCGTCTTAGGCTTTAGTTGCATCAAAGCAGAAAGGAACCCCTCGTAAGAGATCGTGTACACGAAGTGCTCTATTAAAGGACCTTTATGAATGTAGCCCAAGTCCTTCCCCTTGCCCGGCAGCCTGGATTCCCCCCGGGCAGTCAGGCACCGGAGCGATGCAGTGCCTTCATCACCAAACCAGGCCGCGACAGGGCTCAGTTGAGAACGATTTGTGAGAGAGGGGGAAGCGGTCTCAATGAGCAACCGGCTCGTCACCAGCACGCTTCCCAGCGGTGCTCAGCACAGAGCCACTGCACGTCCTGCACCGACCCCACCCTGCTCCCCAGAGCAGGTTTTTTCCCCCTCTAACCCATCTAGTGACAGCGCGTCTTGGGATTGGTTTTGGTTTGGGTTGTTGGTTGTTTTTTTTTTACATTACTCATTTTACTTGGAATAACCTCCCAGATCTGTTTGCTCAAGATGGTTTTTTTTCCCTCAATGGCTCTTCCTCCAGACTCTCCCCAAGGCAGACGATGAGACCAAATGATTATTTTTAACTTGAGTCTGCTCCCTGATCCAATCCGTTAGGTGACTACGCAAACGGCTGCACTTCAAAGCTGAGAAGACAGCGAAGGGACAGAAACAAGCATTCCTAGGCGGGAGGATGCTTAGGGCAGACTGCTGCTGGAAGAAACTTGTCACCTTTGCTCCTTCATTTAATAGCGTTAAATCATTTGGAAACCAGCATTTCTCCTCGCTGGGGACCCCTTCTCCTGTGAAATACCACGTGAATTCTCCTGTGAAATTCCAGCGTGAGGAAAAATGTCATCTAACAAATGGGAACTGCTACGCAAAAGCTAAGGGAGAGAGATGAGGTTCCTGCGCTACCTGGGAGGTGTAAAGTCTGAAAAGGGAACTGAAAATAGTAAGTCATTCATGAAGAGAAATAAAAGCTACCGTAGTGAAAGGGGAGATAACGTCAGTTAGAGGAAAATACAGGTTTAATCTGATAGGAACAGAAGGGCTTTCAGCAGGCTCTGTCTGGGATGTTGCTGATGCCCTCCTTCTGGCAGAACAAGCTACCAGCCTCCACGGCACCGGTACAAAGCATTTTTAGGCAGCAAACCAAGTGGATCAGACACGTTTAGTGTCATGAGAATTGCCCCAGGGCTGAATTTACCTTTGGCGCTATTTTTGCTGAGATGAGATCCATGAGCGAGAAGAACAGCAGAGAAACAAGAAGCTGCAAGGAAAAGAGACTGCCTGTTAGTTATATCTGCGGTGGTGACTCAGAACTTGCACTTTCCAATCAGGAAATAACACTTCACAAAGCACGTTCCCAGGATGGACCTGGATGAACTACAAGCACTGCTGTTCCTTCCAGGTGAAGGCAGTGGGTTTGAAGAAGACAGACTGCAGCCTGACATCGTTCATTGCTTCTAAGGGTAAAGTCCACACTAAATTCACTGTTCTCGAAGCAAGGCTTGCTGCAAGTCAGACAACAGATGACAACTTCTTCCGCATACAGGGAAAACCGAGCGAGCTACTGCAGATGTAAGCCTGGAGGAGAGCTCATGTCGGTCCACAGCCGGCATGCCACCAGCAGATGCTGTGCAGCCTCCCATCTCAGCAAGCGCATCGTAATCCTGCCCTGACACACGCTTGTTACAGCTTTTCTGGACCCCTACCACATCCCTTCCTGCCGCCCTCCTCCTATCTCAAGGCAGATTTTTGAGGTGAAAGCCGCTGTTATTCCACATGTACTAAATGCTCATATCAACTTAGTGACACCAGTTTCTGACTAGCAGCTTTTGGCTCTAGACCAGTATAAACGGTGGAGGAGTCAATCCCATAGCAGGAGGAGCTGCTACCGTAACTGCTGCCCGGAGCAATAAAACTTTAGAGTAAACAGCAAGGCACAGGTTCCGCTTCAACCCTATTTACCTGTGAATGTCTCAGTACAGGGACACTCCCCACACTGAGCTCCGGCCCCGGCTATCCCCTGGAAGATCAACAGACAGAACTGCCAGGCAGCAGCCCAGCTTCCTCCTCAGCAGAGCACTTCAGAGAATTCCCGTGCACGGAGGGCACTGAGCATGGCAAAATGGAGGAGGCATTTCCTGGAACAGACTTGGGAGAACCCTCAGGAGGTCTGTTCCTGGGATTCCTACAGCACGTCTTCCCAGAGCCCTTACAATGCCTGCACTCCTGTCTCAACAAACTTTCTGCGTCTCCTTAACCTCCCAGCCAAGATGCCTGAGCTAAAATCCACAAGGACTGCTCCTTTGTCGGAGGGAGGGGCGATCCTGGCACGCCAAGGATTGAGCTCTCAATCTCTGCAGCACCCTCTCCAGCTTCAGTTTTTAAAGCAGCTGTTTCATAGCCCTCCCCGACTTCACAGAGGAGCCAGTATCCGAGTTAAAAGTTTAAGTTTGGAACAACTTTGCCTCTAGGATAAGTATTTAGCAACTGGTAATTTACAGCTACGTTTTATCAATTGGCCACCAGCAAGATTTCACAACAGGGTTTGCCAGGGATTCAGCTGTATCTCAGGACAACCATTTCGCAGTTAAAGGCATTCTGCTTCTAGTTTTCAAGTGTAGGGAAGAGCAGACAT